ATCGGAAGACATTGTCAGGGACTCACGGTTGAAGCTTCTTCTTGCATTTCAGGGACTTCAAATACTTCTATTTATACACATCAAGATCATACTAATTTTTTATGACTTAATCACTTATACTAAACCCTAAACCAAGGAAATACCTTATACACATATTCACATTGACATAATGATATATATTGACTACATTGAACCTAAATTCTCTTGATTTTGATTTTTAGTAATCTTGCAAAATTCTTTATATCAATAGATTTATAAATTCATAAATTTTCTTTTTTTTAAATAATGTGGGACTTTCTAAGTGAAATGGAACTTTGATTACACACTTTTAACAAATTTAAAAAATCATATATCACTATTAATTTAAAAACATTAAAATTTAAAATAATATAGGCTATTGCATTTATTTTATTTAACAAAAAATGTGATACAAAATTATGTAACAAAAAATGAAGGTAAATTAACATATAAATGCATTAAACGAAAAAAATAACTTATAAATGGGAATGTTTAGGGTGAGTAGTAGAAATGGCATGCGAAACAAGTGGATAGCAATCAAAAGGTACGTACGTGGAACACCACGGTTCAGACATGGTCTAGGTTTCACTTTGTTGACAAATTATTTTGCGGCAATTCACAATTAATCGTAGTTTTCGAATATATTAAAATAATAGTAAATACTATTTTTAACATTATATGTTGATAATGGTACCATATTTGATTTTTGTAAGTAAGGTCTTAAGTTCAAAACTTACATATAAAAAAAAAGAGAAAAAAAAAGAGATTTTATTAAAGATGTTTAATTACATTTTAATTCGTTGAAAATTAGTTATAATTAAAGTTGATAATTACTTTATATCAATAATTGGTTGAAGAAAAAAAAAAGAGGATGTTATTATAATTTTTTAATTGCTTATATTTATAAAAATGTATTTATAAATACTATATATGTATATGTGTGTATTGAACACTTAAAGTTTACACAAACATGTCTCTTTAATGGTATGATATTATTTACTTTAGATTTAAACTTTCATGATTTTATTTTTTGTCATCTTTCAAGAGATTTTATTCCAATAGAGATTATGAATGTTTTATAAACCTTTATTTCTCTTTATGATCAAATGATATAGGATTATGTTTGTAGCCTAACAAACCTTTTCTTAAATAAAGGACCATGATTTTAATTTAGATATACTTACATTATCGTTGGCTTACATCAACGAGATACACTACCTGATCTCCAAATCATTAGGAAAGTTTTTGACATAAGAGATCTCACACTCAGATCCATTGTGTTTCGTTGTCAAATACTTGTCAGCGACTTTGAGTTGGTTAGGAAGGATTTCAACACAAGAGATTTCACATTTGGATTTATTATCTTCCATTATGAAATACTTGTTCAAGACTCTAAGTTGGTCACCTTATCAAAATCATCGAATTTGATATTATTGTTGGATACCTAGGATTCACACACATACATATGTTTCTATAATAGTATGATATTATCCATTTTGAGCTTAAATCTTCATGATTTTTATTTTAGTCATCTCTTAAATCTTAATGGAGACTGTGTGCTTTATAATATTTATTTCTTCTCTATATGATATGAGACTTTATTTGTATCTAACAATATATATGATCTAAGAGTAAAAAAAATATAACGGTAATCTTAGAATAGTGGAGTTAAACCTAACTCAACCTTATAAAACCGGCTTGTAAGATGAGAGTTACTTTCCACTTATATACTATTCAATTGCCTAATCTCTAGTTGATGTGGGACTTGGGTTTTTCCCAATATACCCTCTCACGTCCAACACTATTGGGCTTGGTACATGGATAAATGATGGGTAACCATTTTTAATGATCTAGAATTGGCGGGACTTGAGTTTTTTTTTTCTCAATACACCCCCCTCATGCCTATGGTGCAGTATCAATGAATGGTAGGTGGCCCATTTTTAAGAATCTAGGATAGATCTGATACCATCTTAGAATAGTGAATTTAAGCCTAACTCAACCCTACAAAACTGGCTTGTAAGGTGAGGGTTGCTTTCCACTTATATACTATTTAATTGCCTAATCTCTAGTCGATGTGGGACTTGAGTTTTTTCCAATACACCTCCTCACGTCCAGTACTATTGGACTTGGTACGTGGATAAATGATAGGTGACCCTTTTTAATGATTTAGGATTGGCGGGACTTGAGTTTTTCTCAATACACCCCCTCATGCCCATGACACATGTATTAATGGTGGGTGGTCCATTTAAAGTGAATCTAAATGGCTTTAATATCATCTTAAAATAGTGGATTTAAGCCTAACTCAACTCTACAAAATCGGCTTGTAAGGTAAGGGTTACTTTCCACTTATATACTATTCAATTGCATAATTTCTAGTTGATGTAGTACTTGAGTTTTTTTCAATAGATAAGTTTTTAAAAAATTACATTAAATATAAAATTATTAAACAAGAATTAACAAAAATTACATTAATATCATTTAATTTTATATATGTGCTTACGCTGTATCTTTTCGTTTTGCCATATCATTGTCTACGCAATCACTTGATCCAAGATTTATATATTTAAATGATGCTCAGATGAAAAGTATAAATCATATACGAAGAACGATAATTTATTTGATCATGTGATAGTGTACAAATTTAAAAAAATTACTTTTCCGACAAGAGATGCTGGTCAGTTTCTTTTTCTCAACATTTTGTCATATTTTTCATGATACAAACGTCGTTCAACATGACTTGTGTTGAAAATAAGAACAATGTTTGAATATTTGGATTCATAACTGCTTCTGTTTCTAAGTCTTTGTTTGAAGAGAAGTGATCAAACAAAACTTCTATATATGTGGGAAAAGAATTTCATGTTAAATTTTATTCTAAATTACTTTTTGATAAAAAAATTATATATATATATATGCTTTGTTTTAAATTCATTTTAAATTTTAATTTCCAAATTTTTTTTCAATTAAACTGAATTTTAAAAATCAATATTATTCAACGAAATTTATTTTGTGAGTCATGTGTATAATTTTTTGTATTAAAATCATTCTTCCATCGATAATTAGATATTAATTCTTTTTAAAACATAATGATTAAAATGAGTCTTGTCTCTATCAACAAAGTCTTTTCTATATATACATTACTAAAGAATTAACTGTCAATATGATAGATTCAAAATCTTATTAAAGAGGGATTGTATTTTTTTTTTAAAATAATAAGCTGAAATAAATATTAAATTATAATTGTTAAATAAATAACATGTTATTTATCTAAATTAAGAATATATTTTTTTAAAATCATAAAATTATCAACAATATAAATTATGTATCCTTTTTTAACCAATCTTTTAATATACTTATTTATTTAATATGATAAATAATTTGTTTTCTTCTAAGGAATGAAGAGGAGGCTTGTCCTCCCCCTTGAATTGGTCTGTGTATGCCATGACAATTGAGAAACTCAACTAGTTAAAGATGTTTGAATATAAATCTAAAAGAAGTTATGTAGTGAGAATATAATTTTAATAAAAAAGATTTGAAAGAAGTGTTCTAAAGTTAAAGTGAAACACATTGTAAAGTAACTTAATTTGAAATGAAAGGAAAGAGATAGGTATTTGGATTGAGATGGTGTATCTGAGGGAAAGATCAAGTAAGGTAGCATCCGGGGTGGGTTTGATTATGGGACGAGTATGACGCCACAAACATTATATATATGCCCTCACAAGTCACAAGTCAATCTCAACACACTCACACGCACCTCAATGTACGTCATTTCCAACACCTTCATATTCTATTTTTTGCTATATCCTCTTCCCCACAATTTTAATCTTACTTTTCACAGTAACTTTTGCATTTTCAATAATGAAGACACAGTTAGTTAAGGTTCTTAAAATCATCCAATAATAGTAAAACAAAAAGCAAGTGCATGGTAACGATTTGCACACATTACATTGGTTCACCAGAACGGTGGGTGATACTGATACACGGGGGAGGTTGAAGCAGCCTTCAAGGCACTCTGCTGTGCCCAATACTCAAAATAATGCACACTCGTGATTTCCGGGAAAAGGAAACATATAGTATATTTTAGATTTAATTTTTCAAAAATAGATAACTTTTTTTAATTGAAAATTTAGATAATGATCAAAAAGTAGGTCAGAGTTAAAAGAAAAAAAAAATAAAGGTCCTCTATCTTATTTTAACATAAATCCATATAAAAAAACATAAAATATAAGAAAAATAAAAGTTATATACAATTTGAGACATTAGTTAAACGGGGATAGAACAACTTGGGGAAGGCATGCATGAACTTTGTTGACAATAGTATGTCAGTAGCAGTTGTTGCCGACACCGATCGACTATCCTTGAATTTGCCTGCATCTGCGTGTTTATGATGCATTGCATGGATATAATTTAAATACTTTTAACTTCCTCTTTCTTTTCACTACCTCCTATTTACCCTTTACATATCATATACTCATGTCTTATGTTAATTACTTTATACAAATTAACAAAAATTATTAAATAGATAAAAATAATAATAATTTTATAATTAATTTTCTTTGTTATAAATTATATAATACAAAATTCTTTTTACATTATATTATTAGAATTATAAATGTAAAAGAGGTGATTCATATCGTTTTAAGACTTATTATTTTTTTTAATGTGACATTTATTATGAGAGATATGGCGGTTAGGGCTTTTATGTGTTATTTGTAATTTGTAGGCATTGAATGAAGTAGTAGTCATCTTTTGTTACTTTCCTGGCTTAGCTAGATATGTGATGTGAAACACAAGTGCATGTAGTCCGTATTGATATGGATATTATATAGTTGAGAATATCTTTGATTTAGTTATATTTTTGCTTCTAG